GCCTCAGGCCCCAGAAAGTGCATGAGGAATTAGCAGCCCATTTTACAGATGATCAGCTCAACCCTAGAGGCTCAGGACTGGCCTGGGGCCCGAGTGGAGGTGCCACCCAGTGCTCTCTGCCCACAACACCCCGACTGACCGACTGCCCACCAGGCCCTCCATCCCCCGAGGGCATTCAGCCGAGGCTGGCACCATCCCCACGGCCGTTTCCACCAGGTGGCAGCAGAGAGCGGCCTTTCCCTGAGCTGCATGGTGCTGCCTCCACCTCCCAGGACTAGGACCACGACCAGGATGTGGGGGTGGGGGCCGCGGGCACAAGCGGAGGCGGATGGAGAGGAAGAGGAAAAGGCGCCCGCTCTCCTGAGAAGCAATTGAGGGCCAGGCAGCAGCCAGCCGCCAGGAGGGGTGCCCATTAGCGGCTTTTATCTCCCCACCCCTGGGTGCCCGCTGCCAGGAAATGCTCCTCCAGCGTCTCCTCCCTGATTAACTCCTCCCATGCGGGTCCCTCCGTTGTGAACCCAGAACCAGGAAAGAGAGGGGCCGAGGGGCCTGGAGCCGGGACCCGGGGCACAAAGCGGGTGGAGGTCAGCGGCTTCCGCTCCCCAGGCCTCAGTTTCCCCATGAGGCTGACTGCCAGTTTGTTTCCTCCACGGTAAAGACCTGGGCAGAGGTAGGGGGCTTGCATACCTGCTGGGACGGGGAGCTCACTACCTCTGAACCTACTACTTCCCAGTGACACCCCAGCCCTGCCTCCTTCCTCCCCGACCCTGGGCCTCCTTTTCTCTCGAGGGGCCAGAAGGAGGGGCCCCAGGGACCTTGGGCATCTTGCACCCCCTTTCCTCGCTATAACAGGAGAACCAGCCTTTCCCCCGCTCCAGCCACTCGGGCTGACGGAAGAGGCACCTGCTCCCACCACAGTGTCCCCTCTGGCTGCCCTCTGGCCCCAACCCTGCTTTCTGGACCCCCGCCCCCCTCCCCGCCTGGACCCCCTCCAGAAACTCCTGGGTCTGCGGCTGGGAGGACGGGCCAGCCCGGGCAGGCAGGTTCCCCGGACGCGGGATTAACAAGGGGACCTCCTGTCTGCACTTCCTGAGAGCACCATCCGCGGGGACTCCAGATGCGGTGTCCCAGCCTCTCCCCGCA